ATAATAACAATATTTATGTATGTATGTATGTATATTATATCTATAATTAATTACAAGTAATTGTAATTAATTTTTAACTGTACTTGTCTTAGAGCAAATCTTTCAAACCCTCCGTCCGCCAAACTCCAAAGAATTGAACTCAGTTTAAAACATTACTGCATTTAAGCCCTTCAACGCATATCACATATTCATTAATTTCGGCTTTCATAGTTTGAAAGAACTTTGACACATTAATACCAAATACATGAAAGCAAGCTCGTCACATTACTTTTAAAAATCATAGAAATACGCCAACTAAGTTGTTCGCAATAGCTATAAATAGATAATTTTCAAATATTCTTTTGCTTGGTATTATTTTGCAACTTACAACACCTACCACCTACCAATCTAAACTAATGCCAACTAGGACACAAAAATTTTCTTACTTCCTTACGTCACTAACACACCCGTAAAAAAACTTCAATTTAAGTACATAATTTATATATATATATATAATTTATATATATATATATAATTTATATATATATATATTTTTATGGGTATAGATTTTTATATATATAGATATATACGCTTGCTAAACTTTTGCGTTTGTCAAACGCGTAGTAATGATTGTTAAATTTTCAAGTTTTCTTCAAACGCCCGGAGAACGTATATACATCACTTTTGTTACCCTTCTGCTCTGTCTCGCCCCTTTTGGACTTCCCAATCACCCAGAAATGCTTCTGATTTGCGCAAAACAAGTTTGAAACTCAATTGAATCTGCTTGATACAATAAAAAGTGTTTTAAAAAAAAAAGTGTTTTGAAAAAAAAATTTTTTTGAAAAAAAAAAAAAAAAAAAAAAACCCGTAGATTTATTATCAGATATTAACCTCATTTAGTAGTGGACGCTGAAATTTTCCACATGGTGTGCATAAATCTCTTGTTAGCTTTTATTTCATTTTTGTGATAAATACGGGATTGAGTTACGATATGCTAAGAAACATCGACTTTCTGTGCGAATAGTAAAGTCAAATTGCTTTCATATGGATGGGATGTTCACGCATTTCACACTCTATTTTTTTGAGCACCAAATTTAAACATACGTTTAGACTAACTAAGGTTTATAGCTTTAAATTGTTTTAAATTGCTCCGGCAAAACTATAAATTACCTTCGAAAAGGAAAAATTCAGCGCATTTAGAAAACTTTGCATGAAGTCGCTGGAACAATAGTCTTCGCACTATTTCTATGTTGCCATGCCTATATATCCTTGAGTAGTGATAGCAAGAAAACGTAAATATCGCAAATTTATTAACATATATCAATTGACTTCGTTTGGTTGTTTATAAGAGACGCTTTCTTAAAACTCTGATTTTTGCCGCCATTTTATTTGGAATTGATATAAATATATATATATAAATATACAATACAAATATATAGAAATATATATATATAGAAATATAAAAAACACATATAAGTGACGAATCTCAAACTTAATCGGACAAATCGAATAAATTAAATTCCTTTAAATCACGAGTTGTTCCGAATAAATTATAAAAGAAATTTGTAGGCGAGAGCTATTTTGATAATAATTGAAAAGTTGAAATTTTTATAAAGCATTTAATGGCGATTTTATGGATAAAAGCATAAAGACTTCCGCTTAACACGTTTCGTTCCATATTGTGACAAATGCGTACAGAGAATGATTTCAAATGCAATCCCAGTTTTGCTTGCTTTTCAAGATTACGTTACGACATTCTTGCTCTTTCGCCCTTCTCTTCGCATTCGTGTGTTCAACTTCCGAATTTATCAAGCCTTATCACCTAACAACAGACTCGAACAACCGTCTACAAATTATTGATATACTTTATCAAATTTTGCGTTCGCTTCAATTTTACGTTCGTCAAGTCCAAAAACTACTGTTAGTTCTGTAAAAAATTCAAAGTGCATACACCTCACAATATTCTCTTGCCAATGAACGACAAATGTAAAATATATATTGTGTATTAAGGAAAAAATACTGGCTGCAATTCTATTATATCGATTACGTACCATATCGCAGTTGCGGTCGGACAACAGCGGAAATAGAACAATTATCATAAATGATATAATTTCGGAGCATCGGATCGGTCACTAATAAGAACGATAAACGTCTCAAGGCCCAGTTTTAACACAATGGCTTTTCTTAATGGACAAAAATGCCTAATTTACCTTCGATAATGAATAAGAAGAATATTTACTACAAAGCTTATGCTGCCGGCATAGTTGGGCTGCATTTCATATTTGCAATGAAATAAGCCGGAATAAAAAAAACTTTTAAAATCGCTTGTCAAATAGCTCATATACGATATATCTTCTTGATGAGGAAACATTGCAAAGTCGATTTGTTTATAGGTATCAATCTGAGTAACGAAATCACAGGTACGATCTTAAAACATTGCAAAAATTTAATACTTTTGAATTTTTCCGTCTCAGAAAGTCGATTCTTAGCTTAAACAAACATGTATATTGTGTACGTTGCACGATCTTGTATAGCCGGTTATGATAACAGTGTGACAACATATTTATTGGTAAAAACTAAAACAAGTAAATATTATTATGTTGATGCGCTACTCTTTAAACCAATGCATAAAAATTGTAATTGTTGACCCGCCCATAGGCCGATAGTAACTATTTGCGCAACAAATGTGTTGGTTGTCCGAATATACATATGTCATACATCAGATTGAGACCTGCCGCGTGTTCCAAGTAAAATTTGCAAATTTTTTTTTAATTTCTAACTTTTACGATCTTTTCACTTACAGACGTATCATGTCCTTTTTCAAACTTGACTTTTGGCGGTAAGTCGAAAAAGTATGAAAGCAAGTTTTCGCTTTCTATTTCCATTTTTAAGAATTTTAAGCCTAAACGCAAGCGAATAAGCAGAGAAGCAAAGATGAGTGAATCAATTTGAAGATTCATGCTTTAAATCGTCTCTAAGGCGTACTTCGGATATATGTAATATGGCGTGTTGGCGATGATAGCAGGACAGCGTTTATCCTGAAGCCTTCTACCGTTTTGTCTGTTATAGACGGTCGATTGTTGTTGTAAAGTATTGTTTTTAATTGTTTCTGTTATTTCGGACTTTTTAGCTGCCATGAAAGGATGTGAAGATGGATTAGAAGAGAAATTTTATGAAGAGGATCTAGTTTTCTAGCTCAATTTTTCCTGAAAAGTAACATTAACAACTCGAAATATACGGACGAGCGCATGTAACCAAATCATTTGAAAATGTCATGATAATTAAGCATAGTATACTCTGGATGTTACAACTCGAATAACAAAACAAATTCTCATGGTGGAAGGTATAACTAGTCAGCGATGTACATTATAAGAGAGAAATACTGAGTTGACTCGAATATAGTATTTTTCTTATGTTTATTCTAATCATGTTAATAATAAATACTCCATTTGCAATGCAAATAACTACATGATTCGCGCCATTGCATTACCGCACTTTAAAAATGTAAAAAATGCAAAAATTGTTTTGTTGAGAATTTCTGATAGCAAAGCGTATTTGATTGAGATAATACGTTTGTAGAAAGCTTTTAGACGAGTGGCCCACCTTGAATGTTTTTGAACAGCATGTACCTTTAGAAACAGGGCACAGAGTTTATTTTAATACATATATTTTACATGCATTTACCTGATTTGTTTTTTTCACGGCAGTAATATGTCGAGATGTCCTTTAAAAAAAGAACATAAAACGGTTTTGTTTTTATACAAAAATTTCAATTTTGTAGTCTTTTATAACTTACCTCTATTGTGGATAACTATCAAACAAGAAATTTTGCAGCCAATTTACATAAACAATTCCAAAGCAATTACCAAATCAGCTGAGCAGCAAAAATAAATAATCTCAACAGTGAAGGGGATGTACGTACACTTCGAAGATTTGAAGAATTTTTAAAATTAAAAAAGAAATCTTTCAAAACGAGAAAATTCTTTTCTTATAAATGATGCAAGAGAAGAGATAAATTATTAGAACAAATAAGAAGTGATGTGATTTAATTTCATAAAAAATAAATTACCAACAGACAGTTGCATGTGTGTGTTTGGCACGCGCGCAAATACAATTTAGCAAAATTAAAATTTATGCTGTTTTTAATATGCAACAAAACATCAATACTGACGATCATCTTTAAAATTAAGGGGTTGATTGGCTTGTATTTTGCAGAAGACACACACTCGCTCTCTCTTACCAGTTAGCAGTTAGTCATGCACATGGTTGTAGTTGCTTTTGCTGAGATAGGAGCACTTTGTAGAGCCATATTCACACAAGTTTACATAATAAACGCTTTAAACACCAGCGTCTAAGTCTGAAGGACGACTAATTGACAATACGCTACAGTTGTTATATGAGCAGGTGTTATGTGTTGGATTTTTTATGAGCGTAGAATTGAATTCTGAACCAGCTTTGTGGGTGGTAGCTTAATGTCTTTGTTATTACTTTTTATTAAAGTTTTAATTTAAAAATTTTTTTATTTTATCATAATTTTTTTCTCATTTTTTGTATTTAAAAGGTTTGTTATGTGGCCATCGCGCGCATCGGTCTTTGGACATGTACACACTTTTTGGCCTATTTGCAATGAAAAAACTCAAGTAAATTATTGTGCTTACTTATGATAACAAAATAAAGTACAAAAGTTATGGTAGTCTAGTGAATTTCGATTAAAAATCAACGAAGCCAATGAAGGTTAAATTAAATAAGAAAAGGTTGAGAGGAAATTAGGAATAGGATGAGGATAGTAGTAAGTAGATTTTAAAATATAAAATTTAGATTTAGTGGCCAAAAAAATTTCGAATACATTTTCCCCTGTCACAAAATTTACATAAAATTATTCATTACAATTTTTCCATTTTTTAACACTAATTTCACACATCTATACGCGCGTTCAAGTAAATTCTTTTTTATAATTTTATTTATGTTTATTTTTCATTTTTCCTATTAATTGAATGGAAAATTGTTGCTTTTTATCATTATCATCTCATTGCCACAATATCATCCTAATATATACACAAAATACCAACAGAGCTATAAAAATTGGCTTTTGTTTTGCAAAAAAAAAAAATTTACTACAGCAACAATATTCCATAATATATGAATATATTTTATACGCACCTCAACATGTGCTCATCAGCGGGACTGCGTAATTGTCCGTCTTCACTGCCAGACATATCGTCAGCAAAAATAAGCACCAGCTTTTCCGCGTTATACAAAATTCCAAATAAGCCAATTACTGGCAGAAAGAAAAACTCGAAAGAAGAAATGTTTCGCAAAACGTCACTCCTGCAATTCTTTCTTTTCGTCGACTGCAAATTTTCAAACACGAAAAACTTATTGGTACACAGCAAATAAAACCATTCCGGTTCTCAGTTCGATGACTAAATTTAATTTTCTTATGAAATTAGATTTTGGAAATCCTTTTGTATAAAATGCCCAGCTCTATTAACTTATCTCACTTGTAAGGTTATTTTTTTATTATCAATAAACGTTTGACGCACATTTATGTACAGTTTCCTAGGGCTGCCACAATTTAAAGAGATGCATAATTGGGAAACTCTGTTACTTCTATGAAGAAGTGCAATGTTGTTCAAAATAGTGTTATAGATATATGAACAAACGAAAATCTCATGAGAAGGAGCAAAATTACTTTTATAGGTAAATACTAATTATAATATACCTTTATGCGTAATAATTAATAACACATTAGTCATTTTATTTGACTTCTTGACGGCAAAAATACCGTTTAATCTAGTGTTATTCTTCTTGATACGAATTTCGTAATCGAAATTTGTATTAAACTAATGTTTTCTGTTGTTAGTCACAATTTTTCCGACAATATATAATATTCATTTCGATATGTTACTGTTCGGATTTTACAACCCTGTAGGTTTTTCTGTTGCATACATTAAAAAACCCGAAAGCGTGATTCTTGTAATAGCAAGGATTGGACACCCCCAAAAAAAGTATATTCCCTCGTGTGTGAAGCGTCCCTAACAAAAAAGTATAGCTTGCGACAAAAAAGTATAGGTTGCGACAAAAAAGTATAGCTTGCGACAAAAATGATAAATGTTTAATGAGAGAAAGAAAAACACGAAGAGATACAGGGAAAGTGAACGGGAGAGAATTAAAAATTCTAAACAAAACATACAATGCACAGAATACAAACAGCAACGCATACACCAACAATCATATAAAGCCAACATTGGCAACATAGTTCAAATAAAAATGATTTATTTTTATAAATCTGGCAGCATTGTCACCTGATGTTCGTTCGGCAACACTACGTGTGTAGCGTTCTTTTTTTCAGTAACGTAACTTTTTTTTCACTCGAGATAAAATGTTTTATTAATTTAGAGAGTTTTTATTTTTTTATAAAATTACTTTATGTTATATCTGTATTTGCAGTAACAGTAATTTTTAGAAGTTTAAATAAGAATTGGTAGACTGTTTTCAAAGTATTGCCTCTGGGGTATGGTTAATTAATAACAACAAAGAAATAATTGGGGCGCAAGTGAAATTTGGAGTTTAATGCCTGGTTTCAATCATGGAAAACTTAAAAATCAGTGATAATTTATTCTCAAATATACGCTACTTTATCGTAGGTAATTTGGATGAAGAGGTAAGTTTGCAAGAAAAGTGAGAAAGTATTCTCTATGTTGAAGAGAGAAGTCTATTAAGGAAAGGGCGCTTAACAGTAGCTGGTTGTTTTTGGGGTTATGCGTTTTTTTATACGCTGGGCTTCCCATAGCTTTTAAAGATTGTAGGAAACTTGCTTTCGTTTATGATTAACTTTGTTACGAAAGTTTCCCGTTTTAAGTCATTGCAAATAAATGTGATTTCGCGTTGAAACTATCTGTAGGTGGAGCGTCTACTTAAAAATGGTGGGGCGCAATCAAAACCTTATATTTGTAATGTGGTTACTCATTTGATATGTGCACCCAATTACACGGAAGGAGAAGTTGTTATGAATGTGGAGCTGTATAGTGTTATACCGGTTACCGTACAATGGATCTTACATAGCGTTAAACTGGGGCGGTTAGCTTCAACTAGACCATTTGATCCGACCGCCACACGTTTAATGAGAAATATTGCTGCCGCTATTGTAAACGTGTCGGCCAGCGATCGTAAACGTTTATATGCAATGCTGACATTTCACGGAGCCCAAGTTGCTACCAATTTGGCTAGTAATGTTACACATTTAATTTGTGGCTTTGCTGAAGGCTCAATTTATACCAAAGCCAACTCACTGCCTAAGGGAAGTTTAAATATTGTCACACCCGATTGGGTAACTGAGTGCTTGAAGCAAAAGAAACTATTAAATTGTGATCTATATCATCCACGATTGTTGCGACAAATAGAAAGACCAAAGGCATCTTTACTAAGTGGAGCGTTGTCAACGAATACAATCGTTAGCCATAGTGTGGTAGCAGTACCTCCGACAGCACCTAAGCATCCTCCCACAGTCGAGGAAACATTATCAAACATTTTGGGCTTTGATGACGATCCATTAATGGATAAGACTTCAGATTTAGATTCTGGTACTCCTTTGGATGCAAACGCCGCTCAGAGTATAGCAAATATAAAATCACAATTACAAGCAGCAGCTGTACAGATAACTGCAGCTAAAGATGCAAAGAACTCTGCAACCCAGTCTACCTCAATAAACCATACCATATCCAAAACTGAAACCTCCACAAGTTCTCCATTTAGCAGGAATACTGCCAATGAAATAACTTCTCAGCCTACCCATAACTTGCAACACCAACAGCAACAACAATCCCAAATTGTGTTTGTAAGGCCACGAAACATACAACAGCAACAACAACAACAACCACCACCGCAACTCCTAAGTGCATCACAATCACAAAGTTCAACGCAGGGGCAAAGTGGAGGAATACAGCAAACTCAACAGCAGCAAATTATTTTGCAACAGAAAATTATACCTAATGTGTCTGCAAATGTTCAGCATCAACATCATCAACAACAACATAGTCTACAATTGCAACAACAGCAGCAGCAACAGCAGCAACAACAACAACAAAACTTACAAATACAACAACAGCAACAAATTGTACAACAACAAAGGACGCCGCTCACACCCACTCATTTGTCAGCAGACTCACGAGCTCCCACCCCGCAGCCTCCTAGAACGCCGCAGTCCAATAGTGGGAGGCAAACACCACAAGCTCCAAGAACACCTCAGCCGTGTACCACACCGCAACCTCAACAAATAACTGGTCAATCTCCGCAACATGCTACTAGCGTGATCGCAATGTCGCCGCAACAACACCCTCAGACAGCACAACCCAGCCCTCAGCATCAAACTCAGCAACAACAAACGATATCGATGTCACCAAAAGTGTTGCATCAACATATTTTACGACAGCAACAAGCATTGCAGCAACAACAATTGCAATTGCAACAACAAATACAGAATGGCCAAAGTTTAACGCCGCAACAACAAGCCCTGCAAAGACAAATTCAACATCAACAGCAACAATTAATGCAACAACAACAACAACAACTACATCAACAACTTCAGCAACAGCAAATGCAGCAACAATCACCCCGTTTGCAACAAAATCCCTCACCAGCGCCTCAAGTCCCATCACCTTCGCTAACGAGCAATGTGGCCACCACGAACATGATGCCACCGCAATCCCCTAGACAATTGCAAAGTCCAGCGCCACAAATGACCCCGCCGCCGCCGCCACAATCTCCGGTGCCAGCGGGAGCCCAACAACAAAAACCTCTTTTGATCCAACAACAATTAAGGCAACAATTGCAACAAAGTCGTCAACAACAAAGACAGCAACAGGTAAGTTAGAAATGGGCACAAAAGCATATGAAGCTATTTTTACCTCTCTGCCTTATTTTTTCAATCTTCAGCAATCACCGCAGCATTTAATGTCACCGCAACCTTTTCAACAACCCCAGAGAGTTCAAATGCAAATGCAGCAAATGCAACAACAATTACAACAACAGCAGCAACAACAGTCACCGCAGCACCGTGCTTCTCCTTCGGCACCACCTTCACCTATTACGCAACAGCACAATCAGCAGCAATCGAAAATGATTTCGTCGCAAAAGCCCATTGACCCAACTGATCCGGTGCAGGTGGCCCAAATTTTAAGCCGCTCGGCGCCAAGTCCCAATCATGAGTCGTTGGTAATGAGACAGCAGCAATTGAAACAACAGCAACAGCAGCAGCAGCAATTGCTTTTGAACCAAACTAATCAGCAACAGCAGCAGCAGCAGCAGCAACAGCAAGCGGGACAAGGGACGCAGAGGCAAGTAATAAATACATCAACTGCTCAAGGACAACAAATCATACAAAGCCATATGATGAGCATGCAACAACAGAAACAACAACAACAATTATCACAGTTGCAACAACAGCAGCCACCGCAGCAACTTTTGCAACAAAAGACAGGCTTGGTATCAGCACAAACCCAGTCGGCATCAGGACAACAACAGCAGCAAAATTTGGTGCAAACGCCACAACAAAATATATTGCAACAACAGCCGCAACAAATACAATTTAACACAGCTCAACAACAACAGACAACGTCTCTGCCGCAACAGCAACAAATACAGCCGCAACAAAATATCACAACTGTAACAGGTCCTGGAGGAGTCCGTATCATACAACAAACACTGAAGCCAGCCACAACTACGAATTTGCAGTCGCCGCAGCAACAGTCGCAACAACAAATAATAACTCAACAGCGGCAAGTTCAAACCCAACAGCAAATCATCACACAGCAAATACAACAAAGTTCTCAACAACAACAGTTGCAGCAATCGCAACAACATATGAGCACATCGTCAACGAATAAACCAAAATATATTATCAGTCAACAACAATTTAACCAATTAAGCCTACAACAACAACAGCTAATACTTCAGCAGAACCAACAAAACCAGAATTACTTTATTGTCAATCAATCTAATGTTACGCAATTAGCAGGACAACAGCATCAGCAACAACAACAATCGCAGCATCAAATTTCTCAAAGTACCGGCCAATTGATAAAACAGCAGCAGCAGCCTCCGCCGCCCATGTACAACCAAAGGACAGTGCAACAACCACAACAGCAGCAGCAGTTGGTCGATCTGGAGGGAAACATATTGCAATCGCCGCAACAACAACAACCAAGAATACTCTTACAACCTCAACAATCGAATACTTCACCTCAGCAACCACCGCAACAACAGCAGATCGTTATTAATCAGCAAATCATTAATAATCCGCAAAGCTTACAATATTTACAGCAACAACAACAACAATTACAGTTTCAGCAGCAAAAAATACAACTTCCTCAGCAAATTCAACATGTCCAACAGCAAAATAATATAATTTCAAATCAACAGCAACAACAGCAACCGTCTCAACCACAAATAGTGCAACAGCAAATATTGCATCAGAGTCCCCAACATCAGCAACAGCCGCCTCAACAAATTATTATCCAGCAACAGCTGGTGTCCGGTAATTCAAATCTTTTACAACAGCAACAGTCTGTTCAGCAGCAGCAACAACAACAACAGCAACAACAAATACTTATACAAAAACAACAGTTACAACTACCACAGCAAATCTTGGAGCCACAACAACAACAGCAACAACCAACTCAAATGCAACAAGCGACACAGCAACAAATCATTTTACAACAACCACCCTTGCAACAGACTGTACTTATCCAACAACAACAAACATCACAATCACCTCAGCAACAACAACAGTCACAACCGCTAGGGCAAACACAACAACTGATTATACAGCAAGAGTCACCACAGCAGCAGCAGCAAACACAGCAACAATCAACTCAGCAAACACACTGGTCCCCACAAAGTCCTGCTCAACAAGTACAACAAATGTCCGGAAAGCCTGGTACGTTAACTACGATGCAACAACTTCAACAGCCGCAAGCGCAACCGCGAATCACGCAAGTATCACAGCAGCAACAGTTCATACGTAATACTCGACCCAATTTACAATGGCAACAGCAACAAAATGACAGACTATGTGCAACGCCTCAGCCTCAGCGTCAACTAATTCAATTGGACGATAAAACACATGCTCATTTTATGTCTTTAGATCCTGTGAAAAAAGCTGAGTACATAGCTAAATTACAACAAAGTAAACAACGTGTAATGCTGAGGCAGCAGGTTGCCTATCAGCCGCGACCAGGGGCACCTAATGTTGTGGCCAGTGCTTTGGGTACAGCACCCCGGCCAGCAGGTCCCACAACGCAGCATATTATTGTTCAAAGTCAAATGCCAGCGGGATTAACGCAACAACAGCAAATGCAATGGTTACAACAACAGCAACGCCAAGTCGTTGTAAGAGCCGGTAATAGGACGCCCGGATTAAGTCCTCTAACGCCCGCACAAGTGGGCTCGACCGCAACTGTCGCTATGGGACAGCAACAGCAGCAACAACAACTTCAACAACAAACTCAATTGTACAATACGAATGATCCTAATCAGCAAATGTTACTGCAAAGGCAACAATTGAGAGTGCAATTACAGCAACAGCAATTATTGGGGCAAAAGCCGCAACAGACCGTACAAGTCATTACCGGTCCAGGAGGTCAACTCATTGAACAACAAACAATAATACAACACCAGACGCAACAACAAAATCCTGGCAATGTGATAAATGCTGGCCAACAGAGTACTGGGAATATAATCACAACCCTAGCACCGCAAGCCGTGGTGATGCCTAATCAAATTTCCACCATTGATGGTCAGCTTGCAAATCAAACACAACAACAGCCGCCTACTCTTCAACAAACTCAACAACAGATGAACATGAAAACTAAAACAGCTCTGGCTAATATGTTAAACAGTCGCTTGGGAGCAACTGCAACTGGTGTATCCATATCTCCCCAACAAATTCAACAACAGCAGCAATCGCTATCTGTAGCAGGCGGCGTTGCAGGTGTACAAATAGTTGAACAAACTCAACAGCAAGTTCAACCACAAATAATACAACAAACTCAAGTGGTGGTGGCCCAAACTTCGCAGCAACAGCAAATTGCCATGGTACAACAACAGCAACAGCAGCAGCAGCAACAACAACAGCAACAACAACAGCAGCAGCAACAACAACAAATCGCAGCTGGCATTATGGCGGCACCAACTGCCTCGGTCAATGTAGTTGAGCCCAGTGCAGCAGGCACTTTACGTATGATGACTCAGCAACATGCAAGCGCTGCGCTACAACAACCCAGTGGCAGTCAACCTGCTGCGTCAAGTGTGGTGGGTGTAGCAAGAACACAGCAAGAATTGTTATTATTACAACAAAAACAACAGCAACAACAACAACAACAACAACAGCAAATGCGTCGGCCCATTTTACAAACGCAAATGTCAACGGGACCGGTACCTACTGGCAATCTTATCGCGACTGGCGCTCCCGCCCCACAGCAACAAATCGTACAGCAGCAGCTAGTAGTTGCAGCTAGTGGTGGTACAGTACAGCAGCAAGTTGTAGCAGCCCCTGGTTCCGTTGGGTCAACTAGGGTAATGACCCCAGCCGGGTATATACAGCAGGGTCGGGTTGCTCAATTACCAATGCCTCCTCGACCGCAATTCTACGGTCACAATCCTAACCTGAAGTTACCAACCGATTTATTTTTAGTTGGATGCACGTTCTTCATCGTAGAAGAATATGAAGAAAGCGATGGTGATGAGTTACCTATCTGGATTGAAACTATACGCCAATTCGGTGGTGACATTGAAAAAGTCTATTGTCCTCGTGTAACGCATGTTCTTTGCCGCACTCAACGCCACGGTGTAGTAATGCAAGCTTTGAGGGACGCCAAACGCTGCATAACCGCTTATTGGTTAAGTGATATATGTCTGAAGAAACATTTATTACCGCCATGGCAACCGCTTCATTTGCCCTTCCCCAGCCCGTTTGGCTATCAGAAACCTTTAGAGCGACACATTATAGCATCGAATGGGTACGAACCTGAAGAGGAGTACCGAATCAAACAAATGGCGCAAGAATGCGGTGCTATTTACACATCATACCTTTCCAAGCTAAACACGATACTAATAGCTAAAAAATTGGAAGGTGATTTATACCAAGCGGCTAAAGAATGGAATATACCCATAGTTAATACACAATGGATTAATGATATAGCTATTGGTAATTTAAGCACCATGACCCAATATGATAATCAAAAATATCAGCAATACAATGTAACAACATCGCCATTTCGCATTGATTATGCTCTTGTGCCACATCTAATGGGTAAATATCACTGTCCTTTAGAAAAGCATTTTTTTTTTTT